TGTGTTTTGCATCATTTTGTGCATCTGTGTGGTTATACTGTGCATGTTTGTGGTCCTTTTGTACGTCTTTTTTGGTCATTCTGTGCATCTTTGTGGTCATTTTCAACATTTTTGTTACTATTTTGTTACTCTTTGGTATTTTTAAATCTCTTGTGATCATTTTATGTCTTTCTATGATCGTTTTGTGTTTTTTTGTGCCCATTTTGAACCAGTTTGTGGTTGTTTTGTGCGTTTTCTGATCATTTTGTGTGTCTTTGTTGTCATTTTGTGTTTCGGAGGTTATTTTTTTGTCTCTCTTTGGTCATTTTGTGTTATTTTGAGATAATGTTCTGTGTTTTTGTTGCTTTTTTTCTGTTTCTCTTTGGTCTTTTTGGTCTTGTTTGATAATTTTAAGTCTTTTTTGTGGTTGTTTTGTCTTTTTGTGGCCATTGTGAGTCAGATTTGTACAAAAATGCGTTAAAATAGGATCTGATTTGTAGGATTTCTTTATTTTAAATCTAATTTTGGTGTGTGATCTGTTCCTGTGTTTGATTCCAGAGAGGAGCTGCCAGCCTGTGAGCAGCAGCTGTCATTCAGCCAGAGCTGGTTCCGAGCATCAGGCCTGATCAGAGCTGAAGCCACTGCGGCTCCACGATGACCTGAATGCTGATTATTGTGGAGATCGACAAAGGAGACAAGGAAAGGAGGAGATGAACCGTTTCCTGAGAGCGGACTGCAGGGAGCTGTCACCGAACCACACCGCCTCCTCCTCCTCCTCCTCCTCCTCTTCCTCTTCCTCCTCCTCCATCTCCATCACCTCCTCCTCCTCCTCCTCCTCCTCCTCCTCCAGCGCCGCTGGCTCAGGCGACAGACACGCGGCCCTGCCCTCGCTCCAGACCCGGGGACCTGGCGGCGGCGGCGGCGGGTCGGAGCCGCGGAGATCCGGGCTTAAACGCAGCCGAGCCGGCCGGGAGGGACGAGAGGAACCGGAGGCGGCAGCGGCGCACCAGTCGGCGGCTGCTGTCGCGGTGCGAGGCGGCGGCGGAGGAGAGCTGAGCGTCGGGGTCGCCAAGCAGCAGCAGCAGCAGCAGCAGCAGCGTCGGGAGGCTCAAGGACGCAGCGTCGGAGGAGAAGGAGCTCCGGAGATGATTTCAGCCGTCAGCAGGGACGCGGACGGCGGCGGCGGCGGCACCGGCGTCTCCGAGGTGACCGCGGCCGCTCCTTCTGCGCCATGCGCCAAAGGCAAGGAGGAGAGGAAGGGGAAGAACGTGATCCGGGGCTGGAAGAGGGAGAGAGACCGGGAGCGGGACCGGGACGCCGCCGCTCCTCCTGCCCGGACCAGGAAGGAGAAGCCCGGCGACGGCTCGTCTCCTCCTCCCTCCGTCTTCCTGCCCGAGCATCATCTGTGCCGCGACGGCCCCGGACTGTGCCGCTGTGCCGCCGCGCCGGACTCCAGGCTCCCGGGAGACACCGGCGGCGGCGGCAACGTAAACAATAACAACAATAGCGGGAGTAACGGCGCCGGTAAATCCGCGCTGGATTGTGGAGTTAAAAGCGGCGCTATTGTTGTCCGGCGGCAGCATGACGACACACCGGCCGCCAAGAAGCACCGAGGAGCCGACAAGGTAGGAGGCATTGTCTGCAGGCCGCGCGCGCACGGACACACACACACACACACACACACACACACGGAGGCACAAAGGAGGTTTGCATGTTGGGCTTTATTCTATTGTCGCTGCAGCTTGGTGTGTTTTTTTTTTGTGTGTGATGAAGATGTGAGGATGAGGAGGATGAAGGAGGCAGCAGCAGCAGCAGCAGCAGCGTCCTCCTCCACCTCCATCCTCCTCCTCCTCCTCCTCCTCCAGCATCCTCTGGTTCTGGTTCTGTCTCAGCTCACATGTGCAGCAGCAGCATAAAGAGAGAAGCTGCTCTGTAGCATCCTGCTTTGTTTGCTGCTGGAGAGAAAATAAAGAAGCTGCAGCTGGAGGATGCGTTCAGGGTCCAGCAGCAGCTTCGTCTGGTTTTGTGTGTTTTGTGTTGCCGGTCGCCTCCTTCAGTCTCTTTGTGGTTCTTTTGCACATTATCGTCTCTGTGGTCATGTATGTGTGTTGACGTCCACACTGAGTGGTTTTGTGCCTCTTTGTCATCACTGTGTCTGGTTTTCTTGCTCTATTTTCTTTCTCTTTGGTGTTTTCAGTCTGCTTTAAGTCTGCTTGTTGTCATTTTGAGCGTCTCTTTGTGGTTGTTTTGCGTATTTTTAGGTGTAGTTTCCATCATTTCCAGCATCTTTGTGCTTATTTGGTGTATTTTTGTTGTTATTTAGCCTTTTTTCTGATCCTTTACATCCATGTTTGGTGGTTTTGGTTCAGTCTACATGTTCTCGCTGCTGTATTTAGTTTCTTTTTGGTGTTTTTCGTCTCCTTGAGGTCATTTTCAGTGTCTTTGGGGTTGTTTTGCCTATTTTTTGTGTCATATTAGGTGACGTTTCATCATTCTGAGCGTCTTTGTGGTTATTTAGCTTTTATCTGGTCCGGTTTTACGTCTTTATTTTGATCAATTTCTATATTTTTGCTGCTATTGTGTGATTATCAGTAACTTTAGTCTCCTTTGGGTCATTTGAAGTCTCTCTGTGGTCATATTAAGGATAGTTTTCCTCATGTTGAGTGTTTTTGGGGTTATTGAGCTTCATTTCTGGTCATTTTCGTCTCTCTGTGATCATCTGTTGACCTGTTTTTGCTCTTGAGTTGTTTTTTTTAGTGTCTTTCTGGTTGTTTTGTTCCTTTTTGTCATCCTTTTTGGTCTCTTTGTTGTCGCTGCGTTGGTTTTTGTGGTCATTCGAACGTGGTTTTCGTTGCTTTGCGTGTCTTTCTGGTTGGTTTGTGTCTGTGTGCCGTCGTTTCGCCTCTTTTTGTCATTATTTTGTGTTTCTCTTTGTTGTGTTTGGGCTCGTTGTGGCGGTTTTGACTCCTCCTTTAGTCGTTTTGTGTCTTTGTTGTCATTTTGTGGTTATTTTTTAGTCGTTTTGTGTCTTTGTTGTCATTTTGTGGTTATTTTTTGTGATCGCTCATTAAGTGTTGCCTCACTTTTTGTGTGTTTTTGTCACTGTTTTGTGTTTCTGTTTGGTGCTTTCAGTCTCCTCGTGGTTGTTTTGTGCTTCTCTGTTGTCTTTTCCATCCTTTGCACGTCGCTCTTTAGTCTTTTGAAGTGATTTTTGTGGTTGTTTTGTGTTCTCTTTGCTCATTTGTAGTCGTCTTTGTGGTGTTTTCAGTTTTCTGTGAACATTTTGTGTTTCTCTTTCACATTTTTCGAGCCTTTGTTGTCATTTCCTGTCCATGCTTTGCCATTTTGTGTGTTTTTTCTCACCGTTTGTCGTGCCTTTGTGGTGATTTGTTGCGTCCCTTTGTGTTGGTTTTGCGTTCTGCGTCTTTGCGGTCGTTTCCTGTCGGCTCTCCGTCCCCATTCTGTTCCTCTTTCGGTGTTTTGCGGCTCTTTGTGTTGGCGGAGGGGAGCCGAGGACGGGGGAAGATGGAGGAGAGGTGAGCTGAGGTGGGAAAGAGATGTTTGATAGAGAGGGAGGGATTGGATGTGACAGCAGAGGACACGAGCCGAGAGAGTCTGAGCGAAGCAGATGGAGGATGTCCAGGAGGAGTTCTTTTGTTGTGTTTTTATTATTTCATACATGCAGGATTAGACGGAGCAGGAGAAGCTTCCTCCCCGCTGCTGGCAGATGCTGCTGACAGGAGGAACGCTGGCCGGCTCGGCTGCTTTGTTTATTTGTTGATCTGAAGGATTCCCGGTGAAGCGCTCGCAGTCACCCTGAGCGCCGAGTCTTTCCCTGTCAACGCCGATCTGGGCAACGCTGTCAGCGTCTTTTCACGGCTGCAGCGGCGCCTCAGACGCTCCCAAACCCTGAAAACGGGATTATTTTGGACATTCAAATGGAAATATTGAAAGGGTGAATCCAGTTTATGTCTGTCGTGTTGGCTCTTGTTCACTTCTGCACCAGAAAAAAGAGGAGTTGCACAAAACACTGCAGCTTTTTGGTGTTTTTACATGAATTATTTTCGTCCAACTGAAAGGAAACATGGAAATGAAGCAGCTTGAATGCAAACAGGGCTGCACAGTTCATCGTTTTAGCATCAACACTGCATCTGATTTTCACATCGTAGGAGGAGCGATGCACAAGTCACTTTTTGCACACAATATTTTTTTGTTATTATTATTATTATTCTTTGTTTTTTAAAACATGCACATTACATTTTTCATTTTCAGATTTTAAAAACTACATTTCATTCACATCAAAAAAATTTTTAACACGACTTGTTTTTGTTTTTTTAAAACATTTTGCACTCCACCTTTTTTTTTTTTCCATTGCATATATATATATTATATTATATTGCACATATACAGTCGTGACTTGATAATCGACCCTTAACAATCCTAAACCTGCTGTCCGACAGGTTTTTAGGAAAAACCAACAGAACCCATAAAA